AGCGGTACGTAGACAACACTTTTACAATTCAACCTTTAGATAAAGTCACATCATTTTTAACCATCTCAACTCCATAAACTCTAAAATTCAGTTCACAATGGAGTTGGAGGCAAACAATTCTTTAGCTTTTCTAGATGTGTTCGTAATTCGGAATCCTGATAACACCTTGAGGCGCTGTGTATAGAAAAAATACAATTGAGTTTCTTATTTTAATTAAAATATGGATCATTTTCCTATGTAAGTATTTTCATGTGTAGTGTTCAAGTTCTTCGAGCAACTGACTTACAACACATACTTTCATACTTGCAAGTATTTTTGCTCGTACCAGGGCGCTATACATTGGAGTGAATATCTGGTTTTAGAACCTGGTAGCGTAAATACGTCTCATCTCTACTTGGAGAGTATTCTGTGCTACTGCTAGAGATGAAGCGTATGTACTAGAACAGATCCAGGCACTAGGTATTAAGCAAGACTAGGTTGCACCTGTTCCAACTTATAAAAGACTTGATTCACCTAGTGTCACACTACGCGTCTCATGGCACTGGCGCGGCGGCTCGTTCGAATAGAACAAGTACCGGTGCAGCGAAGCGAGATAGCATTCTATTTATTGTTACAATTATAATGATAGAATTAATTTAATAGATATAAATAATTTAATTAGGAAATTATTGACTAGAAATAAGTATTACCTATCAAAATATAATTTAAGACAGATAGCAAATGTGCTATCTTATTATTTATATATTAACTCTGCCAAGGACTTGGCTACACAGACATCTTCTTCTTTTGAGCAGTGTAATGACTTAATATGCAATTTGGAATCAGTTCCAAGTAATTTAAATTAGAAAATGAGACAATAGAGGTAATCTCTAGCAGTTATAATAACTTAAATAATTTAGAATGTGGCTTCATCATCATCATTACAGCCCTTCACAAGTCCACTGCTGAACATAGGCCTCCCCCAAAGAATGCCACAAAGCACGGTCCTGAGCCACCTGCATCCATCGACTTCCTGCATGTCTTACCAGGTCGTCACTCCATCTCGTGTGGCTTACAAATCTTTAATTGTATGACTCCACAGAAAGATAATGAAAATTGTTTGCACCTGGTGCATCAAAATATACAAGGCATGATAGGCAAAGAGCTAGAAATTGAGTTGTTCTTAAATAGCAACAATATTCATATTTTATGTATTATTGAACATTGGTTAAAAGCATATAATTTAATGTTTAACTTCAGTAATCACCAGGTGGTCAGTTCTTTCAATAGAGATACGGTTTTAAGAGGTGGCTCCTTAATATTAGCTAGTAAATTATTATCATGTAAAGAACGTAAAGATATTGTGAGCCTCTCTGTTGAGTGAACTGTAGAAATGGCATGTGTTGAGTTTGAGCACCTCATTGTTGTGAGCGTCTACAGACCCGCATGTTGTACATATGATACTTTTGAAAACATTATGGAGGAAGTTTTTGCTAAGCTTAATAAACAGAATTAATCTGTTGTAATATGTGGAGACTTTAATATCAATCTCCTAGAAGCTTCCTCCATCAATATCAAATTTAGATCATTGTTTAAATCATATGGTCTTTTTAATTTATTTATAGAGCCAACGCGTATTTCTCAATCTAGTGCAACATGTATAGATAACATTTTTACAAATGTGAAGCCGTTGCATAAATTTATAATTCAAAAATTAAGTTCTGATCACTGTGGACAGGTAGTTTCGTTACCTTATGTTCACAAAAAGCAAGTTGATGAGAAAGTTGTGTTTGTTCCAGTAAATGCACGTCGCTTGGAGAAATTTAGAAGTAACATAGTGAAAAAACTTCCATCACTTTCATACCAAAATGATCCTAATTTTTTGTATGGAACATTATTTAAACTTATTTGCAATGAATTAAATAATACTTTTACTTCTAAAACATTCTCCTTGAACAGTCGGAAGTCATTCAATGAATGGGCGACAGTAGGAGTCCATAAGAGCAGGCATAGGTTATATGATCTTTACCATGAATGGTCATATAATCATAGCGTCAAATTTAGGGAATATGTAAAAAAATATTCAAAAATATTTAAAAGAGTGTGCTCCACAGCCAAGTCTTTGCATTTGAGCAACAAAATTAAGACGGCTTCCAATAAAATTAAAGTGACATGGAGTATAATTAATAGCGAAACTGGTAAGATCAACTCTCGCTATTCAAATTACCAGTTAAGTGTTAACAACAAATTAACTGTATCAGATCAGGAAGTAGCAATGGTTTTTGAGAAATATTTTACTGATATTCCGATCTTGACCACTAAGTCACTGAATTCTTCTCCTGCCGTCGCCGAATCATTACTTAAACAAAATGTAAATGCGTGTACAAAGAATTTTACATTTCATAAAGTGTTATCAAAAGATATTGCAAAATATTTTAAAACTATTGATGTTAAGAAAACTGCGGATATAATCGCGCCTCATTTAGCTATTATTTTTAATACTAGTATCGAATCTGGTGTGTTTCCTGATTTAATGAAGCATAGTAAAGTAATACCTTTATTTAAATCTGGTAGTACATTAGACCCCGCCAATTTTAGACCTATTTCTGTACTAACAACACTAAGTAAGATTTTTGAAAAAATTGTTCTTGATCAAATGTTAAATTTTTTTAATATAAATAATTTACTTCATAAAAATCAATTTGGTTTCACAAGGGGGCGCTCGACAACTGATGCCGGTGTTGAGCTGATTAAATATATCTTTAATGCATGGGAGAATTCACAGGATGCTTTGGGTATATTTTGTGACCTATCCAAGGCCTTCAATTGTGTTCACCATGAAACATTAATCAGGAAACTTCAACACTACGGTGTAAGAAGTGATGCTCTTAAATTAATTATTTCATATTTAAGTAAGAGAACGCAAAAAGTTGTCATTAACAATATGAGCTCTTCCGGATCGATGGTACAAATAGGCGTGCCTCAAGGCTCAATTCTCGGCCCCTTTCTGTTTCTTGTATACATTAATGACTTACCTTACATAGTAGGGGATAACCATGATATAGTATTATTTGCAGATGACACTTCTTTAATTTTCAAATTAAGTCGACAATTACTAAAATATGACGAAGTAAATAATGCTATATCTAAATTAGTAAATTGGTTCGATGTTAATAATTTGCATTTAAATGGCACTAAAACAAAATGTATGAAATTCGTGACTCCAAATGTCAAACAATTAAATACTAATGTAATTTTAAATGGGGAGAAACTGAGTCTTGTAGATACCACTATTTTTCTTGGAATCACACTAGACGCGAAGCTTCAATGGAGCCCCCATATATCAAAACTAGCAAGCAGACTTAGTTCTGCAGCATATGCTGTAAAAGAGATTAGAAGTCTAACCAGTGTTGAAACAGCTAGACTAGTTTACTTTAGCTATTTCCATAGCATAATGTCGTATGGTATTTTGCTATGTGGACACGCAGCTGACACTGAAATTATATTTGTTTTACAGAAGAGGGCCATAAGAGCAATTTATGATTTAAAGCCTAAAGAGTCGCTGCGACAAAAATTTAAGGAAATTAATATATTAACTTTGGCCTCTCAATACATTTATGAAAATGTAATGTACGTACACAAAAATAAAAGTAGTTTTACAAAAATAAGTGATATTCATTCTGTAAATACTAGGAACAGACACAAGCTAGTAGTACCAGTTACTCGACTCCATCGAGTCAGTAATTCATTCTTGGGGCGATATATACGCTTTTACAACAAAATTCCAGAAAATATACAAAGTTTGACCTGTTCAAAGTTCAAAAACTTTATTAAACTAAGTTTGTATAAAAAGTGTTATTATAATATTAAGGAATTTATGGATGATAATAACCCCTGGAAATGAGGTGATCGCTACCAAGCTATTTCTAATTTGTTGTGTTGTTAATTTGTGTAACATAATGATTGTAAGCTGTTATTTAAAAAAAGTCCCGCTGGGTTTCTTGCTGGTTCTTCCCAGGACAGAGGTTCTTTCCGAACCAGTGGTAATCAAACAAAAGAGTGACTTTCAATAAGTATTATTTATAATCTATATTGAATAAAAAAGTTTCTGTTTCTGTTTCTGTTTCATTTTTTGCCGTAGTTACTAGACTGCTTTGCCACTCACTCGTGTTTGCCTAAATTATTAATGTGTCAGTCATTTGACTTTGAACTATAATTCAACGTATATAAAAGTAAGGCGACGCACACTCGTGTTGTGTATATTCTGTCCTTTCTTAACTACACTTTTACGCAGTCTTTCTATGTTTATCTGTCAATACTCGAGACTAGTCGGGACTAGTTCCGGGGACTTCAACCAAATACTAGGTAGGTTTTATACACTAGGTACTTGTAAATACTCGATGCAAATGGAGACTGGAGACCATATGATACAGTCGAGTGTCTAGTACCTAATACGGACTCATACAAATATGATCTCGGCAATGTTGATATCTACTCGACTTATTTAGCAATAGGTTTTCGTAACGATGTTTTGTTATGTGATTAAAGAGCTTTCGATTTATTTCTTTATTTAGACATTAGACATTAAATTGTTTATTGTTTAAAAAAATGGCTGTCGAATGAAGCAGTGTCGCTTAGGATCATTTTACGGTCAAAAGTCAACAAATGGCAGAGTTTAACATTTGTAAAATACAATTTGGTTTTTAAAATTCTTAATACTGATTTTATGCGTGTATGTAAAAACAATGATTCTCTAGATAGGTAATTAACCCATATTTGCCCCCTGATTCGAAAACGATCAATACCCTCTATATGCCCAGAACTATTTTGGACTTCCGATTTTACTAAATTTTGGATATGTTAGTGGTAATAAGTTTCTAATAACGTTATAATTGGTTTCATTAAGGTTGGAATTCGTTATGTACCTTTTTTTAAATTGTTCGAAAACGAAACATTGGGCACTTTCCATACATTTACTATGAGTAAAAAAACAATAACATTTTTCTATGTTTATTTATTTTCAAATGACATATTCATATAAATCTAAAATACCAACAAACAAGATTTAAGCAAAATTTAGGAGGAACATATTTAGGAACTCAATTTAGGAATGAAACGCTATAAAACATTTGGTATGTAAGTTAACCTGACACTTTTGGCACGAAGTAACCGTCAAGCTTTTGCAATAAGCACAACGCAGCCGGCTTGGTGCTCTGCCGATCATGTGCTCAGCATTAAATTTTCGAACTGAGGGAGGTACAGTCGTGGAAATCTTTCTAGAAGGACCCGGCTGATCAGCCGACTATCGTGATAACCTCTCGGTTTTTTCTTGCATAATTTGACATCTTTGAAAGGACACTTCTCTATTCTATTATTTCTTACAGTACCCGGTATTAGAACATTTTGTTCTTTTATTTGAGCAATTAGGGGTAACCCTGTAAACAGACATAAACAGAGAAATTTGTATTTTCGTAGGCAGCTTTGATCTCCGTCATAAGTTTACTTACGACATGTTGGCCTAAACCGGTTGTGACTCCTACAGATTTAACCTGGTAAAGATCAGCATGCAAGCAATATCCCAGTCGCAAAGCTGCTACCCAAGTTTTAAAACCGAACCTGATGTGCTGCTTACACCCATGCCTGCCGTGATAAGGAATCATAGATTCATCTATGCTAATATCTTTTTCAATCACAGCATATTGTAAATTTTTTTTATTGAGCATATCAAACAAGGGGTGCACTTTTGCCATTTGTCACCTGGCGCTAAATTTGAGTTATCAGCCACATGAAAGTATCGTAAAATTTCTTCAAACCGGTTCCGTCGCATAGATTTAGCTACTAACAAATTGTGGGTATCCTCATTACTCTCCCAATACATACGCCGTCGCGGCAATGGCCAGTAACCTGGCCATATAAAAATGCCGACAAAGCAATATGTTTCATTATCTGACAAGGTAAACGCCATATTTCCTTTTTCTACAGCATTCATATACAGCATTCATACCGTTGTATGACGAAAAATATGAATGATTACTTCGTGACTAAAAAATAATTCTAAAATACCAACTGGGTCCGACGCATCTGATACGGTCACCACTGATCTTGGAAGCGGTGCAATCCACTCTTTATCCATCCAACGTAAATCTCGTTTTATCTACTTACGGGCTTGTGGCTGTCCTGGTTGACTTGATAAAGGCCCGTTCGTTGTTGTGTTTCGACTAGCTAAGGCTGAAAACGGAAGATCATCTTCTGACTCGCTGTTATCATTGTTTTTATTCCCATGAAGCACCAGCTCAGCAGGAGCCAAAAGTTGTCTACGTGATAAATTATCGAAACTTACATTTATTTCATCGCCCAAATCGGAGTCCGAAACTAATCCATATCCGGGGGATCAATATAAATGTCTATACCTGTCGCTTCATCGTCCGAATCCAAATTATGAACAATATCAACTATTTCATTGGTCGATAACGGCCTGCTCCATCTGAAATAATAAAATGTTTATTTAGTATATTACATACGTATATTTTCCCAGTGTATCGTTTTCGAAACACTGATAGCTTTAGGTATTTGAATACAACCATTTAGTTTATATAATTACATAAACATATTTTCAAACTATGTAATGTTATCATAAATTACGCAAGATCTCTAAAATAGAGATAATTGGGATAGTTACTTACTTTTTTGTGAAAGTCGCCATGATTTCTGCATGCCGTAAACTGGTCACAACTTGCACTGATTCATTACTACATATATATTTATCTATGTTCATTACGTGAAAATAACGTTTGTTTAGTTGACACATTCAATTACCATTAGAAGATAATATCTTAACCTTGACATAGATGGCAGTAGAATGCACTTTTCGAAGAAAACGCGGAAGATAATGAACTATTATTAAAACTTAATTTTTTGATTCGTTTTCGAATCACGAGGCAAATAAGGAACCAAATAAAAACATAGTTCTGGGCATATATGGGTTAAAAGACGAAACAAAAAAATAACAACAAAAATGAAACAAAATAGGATTACTAAAAAAAAATTTGAAACCTTATACGCCAACAATCTAGAATGTAAATAAATTTTGACGTTGACAGTCTTAAACCTATGTAAAGTATAAATGGATGATTACTATTCACTGCCTTCACGTAGCTGTCTAAGGGTATTAGTGTTCTGTGGTCTATTACTCCTAGCGCTATGCTCAGAAGGCCTACAAACCAGAGCCGTAAAGCCAGTTTAAAAAAATCTCAACCACCATTATTTACCATAAACATGTTCTATATTTAATGTTTATTGTTTATTATAAATACTAAATAATAAATAAATACCTTTTACAATATAAAGTATAAAGTAAATAATTATTATAGGAGATTAGGACCGTTAGACAACCCTTTGATTAAATTATGAACGATGAGAATTTTATTCATCACTACGTAATAAAAATTATAAATTAGTAGTTTTAAAAATGGACGTCAAATTATCAGTTATTTGTCAAACCTGTCTAAGTAACGAACGTTTACTATATCCTTCGCATAAGTTAGCATCTGTTCTTGATAAATTGGGCATATTTTTAAAGGTTAGTGGTATTATAGCATCGGATAAATTTCATCATGAAGTTAGTTTTGTGCCATCGATAAATGATAATTGGTGATTAGTGAATGTGCTGTGGTGAAGTAAAACGTTACTGAAAAACTAAAATACATATTTCGAGGACTCTGACAGTGCAACAGATTTCCTTGCTCCGAAATAGTCTAGAATGTAGCCTAATTTCCATAGATTTTTGTTTCTTACAAATTGTCTTATTTCAGATAGATGAATACAGTGGTATATGTTGGGAGTGCAAAGCCATTATTATGAGATTCTTAAAATTTAAGCAGCAAGCAATCAGAGCGCAGAGAGCTTTAAATCTAATTGTCCAGGTAAATATTTTATTATTGTATGGTGAACGGTGTAAATCCCACATGGGGCATTAGGAAATGGCAGCCAATATTCTACTTGACTTCTAGCTGTTGCCTAAATACCTTGGATCACTCGGGTTGCTCCCAGAGTTCATTGGTAACATTAATAACTTACTGAGATTTCTGGTGGAATTCAGTATATAATAGCACAAATAGCTTAATATTCTTGCTAACTGGAAACTTTTTTACTTTTAAGAAATGGCGAAAGAAACTACAGGTATGTAGAGATTCATACCTGTAGAGTTTCTTTCGCCATTTCTTCTACGGACAGAGGTAAGTAATTTTGAAAAAGTAGTGGAATTAGACAACACATTCATGTTTGACAAAGAAACATTTTAAATTATTACATTGTAAAATAATGAGCTTTGAACACTTGCCACACTTGCCATGTGGTGATTAAGTGAGTGAATCACTTAATCACCACATGGCAAGTGTTTATTTTAAATATTTTAAAACAATTTCTATTTCAGATTCAAGATTTAAAAAGTCTAAGTACTTTATCATACCAAAATAAATATATTTATGACTTAGAAATTCAATACAATGATCCGTTAACAACTGTTGAAACAGAAAATAAGAGTGATATAAAAGTAGAAAAGCAGACTAATCATGAAATTTTCATAAATGAAAAATTACCAGATAATGATTTAGGTATAATTGATGAAGAAGTATGTGAAGCGTATGAAAATATATCTTATATAGAAGACATTGGTACAAAAACAAAAGATAATAAAGTAAAAAAGATTAAGTGTGTAAAACCAGTAAAGCTTAAAAGAAGAAACAGTAAATCAGACATTAAAGAAGTGGACAAGAAGTTTACAACTGTTGTGTTCACAGAGGAGGAGATGTTGAAGAATAGAGAGAAGAAGCGAAATCAACCTAATTTTAAAAAGATTCCCTACAAATGTGAATTATGTGTTCTCGGATTTACGCGGAAAGAGAATTACGAATTACACATTGAAAAGAAACACAATGAAGTAAGTAAATATTAATGTAGCATTCTTTGTTATCTCGCTTTAGAAACTAAATAATGAAGAGCATGGTGAATATGACATATTTTTTATAACAAGTACATATCAGAGCAACGTTTCCATATGCTCAAAGAAAAATCAAACAGCTATATTTAGGTTTCTAAAATATCCACTTTGCCTAGATTAGGTAGATTTGCTAAACGCTACGTTATGTCACAAGAGTGTGGGAAATTTTGAATAATAATGTCCTTCGGACTGAATTTCATACAGTGGCCAGTATCAATGGAATGAATGAATGAATTAATGTATTTCTTTATTTTGCAAATATGGGTGATACAGAATGTGGTGACAAAATATAGTATAGAGTCCCACCATATTTTACCAGAAGGCATGCAAAGAATATATTATTTTATCAATTTACGTAGATATGTCATTCACAACACAATATCACATTAGATTAACAAAAATAAAAAAGTCTCTTCTAATTACATGTAAGTCTAATAAGTGGATATGTGTAGTGGATAATGGAAACATGCTATTTGTGCAGGATGGAATTATAGTGCACGAATGTGTGTGCAAACACAGATGCACTCTATTCCCACACTCTAATAGTCCGGTGGGTTAGCAAAAAATCTCATCACTCAGCATGGGTTGTGTTAAACCACAATGATGATTTTCAGCTGTGATCTCATGAAAACTGCAGTTGCTGACCAGCCTGCCAAGTGTGGCAACTATGACAAATGTTCAAACACAAATGACAAAAGTTCAAAAACTTTATTAAACTAAGTTTGTATAAAAAGGGTTATTATAATATTAATGAATTTATAGATGATAATAACCCCTGGAAATGAGGTGATCGCTACCAAGCTATTTCTAATTTGTTATTTGTGTAATATACATGATTGTAAGCTGTTATTTAAAAAAAAAGTTCCGCTGGGTTTCTTGCTGGTTCTTCCCAGGACAGAGGTTTTTTTTTCGAACTAGTGGTAATCATACAAAAGAGTGACTTTCAATAAGTATTATTTATAATCTATATTGAATAAAAAAGTTTCTGTTCTGTTCAATGTTACTTGGAATGGTTAACACGTACTTGTGAGTGCTTTTCGGTATTTGGTTAATTCTCCTTAATTTCCTTATTTTGTGGTGGTGGATTCCTCTGCTGTAAGTCTACGTTTATAAGTTATAGTTATTTCGAACATTAAACCCAATTATGGGTGACGAAACGGGGTCTCCTCGTGAGAAACCCCCTGACCCTCCCGATGAAGACATGTGCTTTGGAGTAAGTGACAATAATGATTGTGGCCGTGGTAAAAAAAGACACGCTGAGACTCGATCATTTGATCCAGTAATATATAAAAAGAATTCTGTAATTGATTTAACAGCGTCAATAAACACAATATATAAACATCCCTGCCTAGAACAAAATCTTAGAATGTATGGTCCAAACGACCAAGGCCCTTTTATTGTCCACATCTCCCGGGCTACGTCAGATCCTAGAATAGGGCTATCACTTCGTCCAATTAAAATAGGTTTATGCTTGTCTAAAAATAAAATAGAAAACATCAAAAGAGGGGGAATCAAAAGCGTTGGCAGAAATCGCATCTCTATTGAATTCTGCTCAGCCGATGAGGCTAACAAATTTCTTAATAATCCAATGCTTGCAAAAGAAAAATTGATTGCAACTATTCCATCCTATAATGTTTCTCGAATGGGTGTCATCCGCGGTATCCCTGTGGATTGGTCAATGGAAGAACTAGCAGAAGCTGTTGAGCTTCCTCCTGGTTGTGGTAAAATCCTAAAAGCTCGCCGTCTTCAGAGAAAGACTTTTGCTGAAGGGTCAACATCCCCAATATGGGTTCCCACTCAATCTATTGTTCTGACATTTGAAGGCCAGTTACTCCCCAAATATATATATGCATTTTACACATCCCTTGCTGTTGAAACTTATCAACTCCCCTCCATCCAGTGCAAACACTGTTGTCGATTTGGCCACATAGCAGATCAATGCCGTTCTAAACCACGCTGCTTCCGTTGTGCCCAAGAGCATACTGGAGCAAGTTGTTCTGTTCCTGAAAGTGAAGCCACTTGTCTGTTATGCTCCAAAAATCATTTTGCTAATAACAAAAACTGTCCGGAACACCAAAGGCAGATTTCTATCAAAGTTATGATGTCAGAACAAAATATATCCTATATAGAAGCTTCAGCCAAAATCCCATCTATCCGATTGAACAATCCTCAAAAACCGTATTCCGAAGTGGCCTCTACTCAGCTTTCACCTACTCCTACTACTTCCTTCAACCTCCCCACCATGTCACAGGCATATAGAAAAACCATCTTCAAACCTCCCCGCCCCATACCTAGAATTCCCATGGGGTATGACCAACAAGCTCATCAAAGAATAGTTGCAGACTGCCCATCCTCTACTCCAAATGGATGCGCTTTATCCAACACCCACAACCAAATATCTCCAAATGAAAATCTTGTTGAATGCCTAATTTCCCTCCTCAATAATTTAATTTTGAAAATGTCAGATTCACTACCGAACAACGTTGCAGAAAAAATCTTTAATTTAGCTAGTTTAATAGATAATATAAATGACTCAAACAAAAGACCTCCATCTCCTTCAATGGAACTGTAGAAGCTTGCAACCTAAAAAATCTGAACTCATCTTCCTAATAAATAAACATTCAATTTCTGTTGCTTCAATTTCAGAAACATGGTTCCTACCTAACTCCAAATTTCGCTTGCAAGGCTTTACTTGCCTCCGTGAAGATAGAAATGATGGTTATGGTGGTTGTTGCTTACTCATAAAAAAATCCCTACCCTTCTCTCAAATTGCACTCCCTCCTCATAGCCAACACATTAATGCCGTAGCTGCAAAAATTGCAGGAATCAACATTATTTCAATATATATCCCTCATCCAAATACCCACTTAATTCAAGAACTATCCTCTCTCTTCTCTTTGTTACCTCCCCCTTTTATTATTACCGGTGATTTTAATTCACATCATGTATCTTGGGGGTCACATTTTTGTGACATATACTCTTCAGAACTTATACAAATTTTTGAAGACATTAATGCTTGCATTATCAACAATGGTTCCCCCACTCATAGAGTATACCCAGGACTAGACCCTAGGTCTGCTGTCGACCTAACAGCTTGTTCTCCTAGTCTAGCCCCTCAGCTTTCTTGGAAAACCCTCAATCAATCATATGGAAGTGATCACTTTCCCATTCTTATTACCAAACCCAATGCGGTTATTCCTTTACCCTTTACTATGCCCCTCCTTAAATATAAGCTCCAAGACGCAGATTGGACTAATTTCACTAAATTTTTAGATACTAAATTTGCGCAAATGCAGGTTGACTTCTCAACCAACCCAATAACTTCGTACTCTCTATTGGTACAATATATAACTGAAGCAGCTGACTTATTTATCCCATCCAAAAAACCCCACAGCAAGAACCTATCCTCCCCTCCATGGTGGGATGCTGAGTGCACCACTATGATTAAAAGGAGAAAAGCTGCAGAAAAACTTTATAATCACTGTATGACAACCGATAATTTTATACAATTTCAAAAAACCTCCGCTCAAACAAGGAGACTACTTTCCAAAAAGAAAAAAAATGGATGGAAAAAATTCTGTGAATCCTTGTCCCCTAATTCACCAGTAACAATAGTTTGGAAAAATATAAAAAAATTTCGTGGCTCCCTTCTTTCTGATTCCAACATTTCTGATAACTCTTTACCATGGTTAGAAGTCTTCTCTGATATGTTAGCTCCTCCTTTTGTCCCTAATGAATATACAATATGCCCACCCATTCCAGTCCCGTCTTACATCAACAATAATGAGATAATCTTCTCATTGTCCGAATTACAGTCTGTGCTATCTGGCTTAAAATCCTCTTCTCCAGGAGAAGATGGCATACCCTATGCGTGTTTATGTAAATTAAGCCTTAAAGGTAAATTAATTCTTCTCCAAATTCTGAACAATATCTACATATCATCTAATATTCCTCTGTCTTGGTCAAACCAAATTGTTATACCTATCCTTAAACCCGGAAAAGATCCCAAAGAAGCTTCTTCATACCGCCCAATCGCACTCTCATCTACTTTTTGCAAAATTTTAGAACATTTAATTAAAAACAGACTTGAATGGTTTCTGGAACATAATAACATCCTTGCAAAAAGTCAATTTGGTTTTCGTAAAGGTAAAAGCACTTTAGATAGTTTGAGCATCCTAACTACAGATATTAGGTTGGCCTTTTCTAAAAATGAATACTTGGTGGGTTGTTTCCTGGACATATCATCTGCCTATGACAGTGTTCTTCTTCCAGTGCTCAGGCAGAAAATGCTTCATCTGAACATCCCTGCGAAGACTGTACACTTCATTTACAATCTGTTCATGGGACGATCTATCAAAATTCGCAATAAAGGAATGTTAACCTCGCCCAGAACAATCTGGAAGGGTCTACCACAGGGCTCGGTCTTAAGCCCTATTCTTTATAATATCTACACATATGACCTTGAACATTCGATTTCATCTTTCTGTGACATATTACAATATGCAGATGATCTTGCTATCTATGTAACAGCTCCTGATATCCTAACTGCCTCCCATCATCTTAACAGAGGCTTATATTATCTTAATCAATGGCTTACTGACCATGGCCTCTCTCTTTCAGCTTCTAAAAGCAAAACAATAACCTTTAGTAGAAAACGTGTTTTCCCTACTATTGATATCTCATATAATGGTGAATCTATTCCAGTTGTTAACAAAGTAAAATTTTTAGGTATTTTCTTAGATTGTCATATGACTGGTACTGCTCACTTTAATTACATCTGTGACAAATGTGAGAAAGGTGTTAATATTCTTAGATCCCTTTCAGGCGTATGGTGGGGTTCTCACCCCATGTGTCAAAAAATCCTATACAATGCCATCATCCGCAGTCACTTCGACTATGGCTCTTTTCTTTTGGAGCCCTGCAACAAATCGGCCCTTAATAGACTTGATGTTATCCAAGCAAGATGTTTACGTATTATCACAGGCGCAATGAAATCAACTCCTAAAAATGCTTTACAAGTAGAATGTGCTGATCCCCCTCTCTCTTTACGAAGACAGTTTCTAGCTGATAGATTTCTCTCAAAAACTCTACAACTATCATCTCACCCCTTACATCGTAAACTAGAATCCTTGCTACTATTAGCTGTAAACAACTCCTACTGGTTTAATAAAAGCTGGCCCCCTATTCTTAAATCTCTAAATAGATTAAAAAATATTGGTTATCCTTGTGTAACATCCCTAATTCTACCCTATTTTGAAACCAGCTATGAAGCTATATTAATAAACCCTAAAATCACTCTGAATTTAAACATTAATAAAAATTCCCCCACTGCAAACAGAACTTTCTACAACCTTGTGGCAAAAAAATGGTCTGATTGGCTATATATTTTTACTGATGCTTCCAAATTGTCTCCATTCAAATGTGTCGGTTCCGCAGTCTGGATCCCCAAATACAAAATTGTCCTTAATTATAGATGTCCTCCTCAAGCTTCTGTTTTTACTGGGGAAGCTGTAGCCTTATATGAGGCTATTTCCTATATTCTTTCCCATAAAATTCCTAAGTCAGTCATATTTACTGATTCAAAAAGCTGCCTAATGTCATTACAGAGCAATATATTTAAAATGAATTCCATCTCCCCATTAATACTGAAAATTAAGGAACTCATACTAAATTGTAATAAGAGTGGGCTTGATGTGGAGATTGTGTGGATTCCTAGTCATTGTGGTATAGAAGGAAATGAACAGGCTGACTCTTGGGCCAAAGGAGCTGTTGATACTGGCTGTCCTTCTCATTTAATGATTTACTCTCATGATCTAATGTCATTAGCTCAAATTGAATTAAAGAACTCTTGGAACAGAGAATGGAGCACATCCAGACATATTAAAGGTTGTCACTTTGGTAAAATTCAACCCCAAATCCCTCCAAAACCTTGGTTCTTTAAATTTAGCTTTTTGAACAAACAAATCACATCTACAATCTGCCGTTTAAGGCTTGGGCATGCCTGCACTCCTGTATTTCTAGCTAAAATTAGAATCAAAGATCATCCCCTCTGTGAATGTGGACTGGATGAAGGTACCCCAGACCACATTTTCTTTAATTGCCAAAATCACCCAATTTCTTTATATGACATTCTTCCCAACACAATCCCTCGACCAATGAATATCAATTCCCTCTTAACTATCCCCAATTCCATATATGTCAATATGATCTCAAAATATATTCAAATGTATAATATTAAACTCTAATTATCGTGTACTAAATTTAGCTTAAACTAATTCTCTATTCCCTGCCCAGGCTAATTCTCTCCTATAACTAGATGTTTGCTCTATATTGTGTGGTCCATAATTTATGTATTTAGATGCTTTGTTTTTATCCATATTTTCACCTAATAACCGCTAACTCCTTTTCCACCGAAAAGCCTAAAGACAAGGTGCGACAGACCAAGGACCGGACATTGGCAGAATTATTGTGACATAATCACAATACCAAGGGCCAAATAGACCAAATAATAATAATAATAATAATGTTACTTGACAGAGGTAATCTTTGGAGAAGATCTATTTCCAGCAGTGTATTTTGTTTGGATGTAATAAATGATTGATAGTGCTGTTAACATTACTATTAATTACCAAGTAACAAGTAAGCAAGTTTCCATTAACCACTTTGATTAAGGCTTAAAATGGCAAAGCATTTTATAAGCTACGTGGACGGCTCCGCGACACAGTGGCTTAGCAGTGAGTTGCGGCGCTGGGGGCCGTGGGTTTGAATCCCCACATTCAAGTCTGGATCTTTGTCCTTGTGCAATTTATGTTTGGAAACTGCCTCCACAATATACGAGAATATCCTAGTTTGGGGTGACATATTTAAAAAAAATGTTAATAAGATAGAAAATTAAAAAGCGAGCCGCTTACCTTATTTGTCTATATAATAATAATTTTTATTTGCGTAAAACATGTATAAATAATTAATATGTATAAATAAAATTAAAGTGTCAAATAATACTGTCTGTAATATTGATATTACTGCCTTTTACAAAGCTCAGGCAGTTCTTCTAATTTTAAAAGAAAAATAGCCCCATCATTTAACTGATGATTCTCTGCCAATGTCAAGTTTAAACATGCCTTGAAAGCTGTTTTATCCGAATAACTTGAAGATTTTTTTTAAATGGAAAAGTTGATAAAGGAAATGGTCATTGGTGATTATTTTAATCTTTTTAAATGACGCCATATTAATGAATTCTACCCAGGCGAAGCCGTAGCAGGCCCCTAGTATATATATATATATATAATCTAATTAATATTTCAATGTTCAATGACTTAAATATGCTATTCATTGTCAAGTTTTAATTTATTGTTTTTTTTTCAGGACACAGGCCAACACGTTTGTGATGTTTGTCAATCACGGTTCAGTTCTATTAGTTCATTAGACAGGCATCGTCAGAAACACTATGTGCTGTATCGTTGCCGTCTTTGCGATTATGAGAGCCTTGAACTTTGGTCCGCTGTGAACCATTGTCGGGCAAAGCATAGTGGGGACACTAGTGGGAGAATACACTGCCCTCAGTGCTCTGTTATTGTAAGGTGAGTTAATAAAAGTCTTTATAAAACTTAAATCCTCTTTTGTCATAGTTGATGCAAGATGTTTCCATTTCGATGGTATTCAGTAAAAGAAAAGTAATCAATAAATATAATTAAACTGAAGTGTCTGTCTGTAATATTGAAATAATTGGCTTCTGTTAAACTCAGGGGTTTATTTACCTCATCATTACAGCCCTTTATAAGTCCACTGCTGAACATAGGCCTCACCCAAGGAATGCCACAAAGCTCGGTCCTGAGCCACCTGCATCCATCGACTTCCTGCATGTCTTTCTAGGTCGTCACTCCATCTAGTGGGGGGTCGCCCTACACTTCGCCTACTTGTACGAGGCCGCCACTCGAGAACCTTTCTTCCCCATCGGTTGTCGGTTCTTTGAGCTATATGGCCGGCCCACTGCCACTTCAGCTTACTAATCCGTTGGGCTATGTCGGTTACTCTGGTTTTACTGCGGATATCCTCATTTCTAAGTTTATTACGCAGAGAAACCCTGAGCATAGCCCTCTCCATAGCTCGCTGAGCGACCTTGAGCTTCCTCATATGGCCAGCAGTGAAGGACCATTTACACACTATTGTGACATAAAATAACCATTTTTAACATTTTTGTCTGTGTTTTTCTTAGTTTCGTCTTTCGTTAGTTTCGGAATGTCTGAGCCATGTGTGATGAAACTTTACAAGCAAATAGAGAGCAATCCCAGGCAGGATCTAGGCAACTGGCCAAATTTGCAGAGAAGGTTTAGAATAAGTAATGTAGGCAAATTCTGAAGAAAAGTTAATTAAAGAAAATCTCAAACATTCTGTCTTTTTCAACCGTCTTCAAAAACGAGAGGTTTACAATTTCTCGGATTATTTTTAAGTATGTTCACCGATTACTAGAAGACGCCTGAACCCAGGTGGTCCCATTTAAATTTTATCGAAATCGGTAGAGCGGTTTTAAAAAAATTAACAATAAATTATATTTATATTAAAATCGGTTGTACAAAGTTTTTAATTTTACCACTTTTATCGATTAGATTTACTAAAAAAGATGGATGTACAACTATGCTTAACACAACATATTTCCGTTCTCGTTATGATGATTAATTATTTATTATCTTTTACATTCAGAATGCATGGTAATGCATTATTTTAACTGATTGTCATTCATAAATATCTAACGCCTACTATTTTACTACGCACGCACACATTCGTAAGGGTCAATCGGCTGGTAAAAACGTTTTGAATCGCACACAGAGGAGCGCGAGTACGCGTAGTTGTCACCCATAAATCACATTCAATTTAGGATAATTTTAAATAAAAGTTAAGAAATAAAAAGTATTTACTCGTATTTTCAAAAAGTGTAATAATGGTATATAATTTATTATATACTTCATCTTAAGATTAAATTTTGGCTACTCTTTGAAAAATAACCCTGTATAATAAGTTGGAATTTTAATTCTTCTATACACTATGTTTAGCAACAACAGTGTTAAACAGTGGCCGGCTCGATCCGGGGTGGTACCACGACCTCACAGAATACCCGCGTGAAGTAGAGGTTTATCTCTGCGTTTCGCTTGGTGAGTGCAGGTGGCCGGAGGCCCTTTTTACTGGAAATGAGGCATTCCATCTTAGTCCTCACGGGTGACAACGCATCTGCATTTTGATTCGCAAACGAGGATAGATGTAGATGTCTATGGGCCGCAGTAACCACTTACCATCAGGTGGACTGTGTGCTCGTTTGTCACCCGCATCTTATAAAAAAAAAAACAACAGGAAAAAGAAACTTTTTTTAAAATAATGTGATTGGACATCTTTGTAGTTCCTCAATTGGACAGACATTAAAAATCAGTTATTCCTGTTCCCAGGAGTCCGGAAGCATTGACTGAGCACATGCGGTCTCAGCACGTGCTACGTTGCAGTGAGTGCGGCGACAAATTTAAAGGCAAGCACACACTCCGGAGGCATAAACTGTAAGTGATCCAACAATTGACAATCACAGTACCAGATATCAACACCTTTGACGTAATTGCCTGTCACCGGTCTGGATATCCCACGACTGGTGTAAACCAGATGATATATCGCTTTGAAATCATTAACTTTTACTACTATTACCATTCCAGCCTATCAAAAGTCCACTGCTGAACATAGTCCCCCCCCATAGATTGCCTCAAAGGGGGAGAAATTTGCCATAGTTGCAACTTTTGGCAAGCAGGTTGGCAACTGGAGTTTTTATTTTTATTCATCTGTTATCAGGAGGATGCTGCTGCCCATCTCCTGGTTCAGTTTCTCTCTGTCATCTCTTACGACACTCACGGGAAGGTATGGGATAGTGAATATTCTTACACCGTCACAACACAGTTGAAAATCATAGGTTTTATTTTTCTACAGACTTCACAAAGTTGCGGGTACTCAATTGGACTGTATGATTTTTTATGTGTGTTACCTCATAACTTTCTACTGTGTGAACCGATTTCGATTATTCTTTTTTTTATTTGAAAGCTGGCGGTTCTCATGTCGTTCCATATATAATATATAATAATTTGATCAAGGTCTGACCAATAGTTTTTGAGTTATTCTTAATAATTTATATTGAACTTGGTTGTACAAAATTTTATAATTTTTAATTTTTGTTACTTCTAAATCAAAATTTTACTTTTAGTCGGACACATGGCTTGAACCGGGACTTTGTCTGTGATATATGCGGGAAGACGTTCATGAAGAAGTCCCGCTTGGAGTCGCACGTGGTCGGCCACAATTCGGCACTGGCGAAGAAGCTAGCGTTTTGCACTGTTTGCAATGTGCAGTACAAGAATTTATATGTCTATAGAAATCACTTGAAGAACAGCGCCAACCATTCTGAAAGGTTGTAAGTAGCTTTAAAAAAAAAAGTTAAGTAGCTGCTAGCTGATTTTCTTTTGTATAAGGGGATTCTTTTTAATAATATATAGCTGAGAAATGAGCACACAGTCCACCTTATGGTAAGTGGATACTGTGGTCCATACACCACCGCCACATCAGCCACGACAGTGCATTGCTGGACATGGGCCTCTCTTATTAAGGGGGGGTAAATGCCATACTATATATAATGGCAGGCGGGTTGGCGAGCGCAGTCCAAGGTGTTATATTAATAAGAAACGCTGATGTCTATTCCCTGAATTAGTATCTTAGTCGGATTTTACGACACCCACGGGAAGAGTTGGGGTGGCGCTATTCTAACCCGACACCACACGGGGTACAGTGGTTTATACACATCTACATTTATCCTCGGTTAAGAATGAAAATTCAGATGTGTTGTCTCTGAGTAATAAGATGGACTGACTCGTTTCCTTAATGAAAGAGTCGCCGGTTCTTTACACTCACTATATGACACAACAGCATTAAGCTACTATTTTTTGCTGGTATTCTGTGAGAGTGTGGTTCTACCCCGGTCGAGCCGACCATTCGTGCTAAAACCATAATATATCTTTTTTTATAGGATAGGTCACAAACGAGCACACAGTCCACCTGATGGTAAGTGGTTGCTGTGACCCATAGACATCTACATTTATCCTCAATAAAGAATCAAAATGCAGATGCGTCGTCACCCGTGAGGACTAAGATTGAATGCCTCTTTTCTAGTAAAATGGGTTTCCGGTTCTCTACACTCACCATACAAAACACAGCAGTGTGAAGCTGCCATTTTACGCTGGTATCCTGTGAGACCGTGGTCCTTCCCCGGTCGAGCCGACCCATTTGTGCTACAACTATACTACTAATAAAGCTGCAGCATGGCTCTACCACGTACAAAAATAAAAAAAAAACAATTTCTTCGGCATGCTCTGTAGCCTAAACGGCTTGACTGATTTTAATGTATGGAATGTCGTTAGATTATCCTTAGTTGTGGAAGAGACATAGGGTATAAATTTAACCTTTTTTCTACCGACTTCAAAAAGGAGACGGTACTCAATTTGACTGTGTTTTTTATGTGTGTTTTTTATGTCTCATTTTTTTTTTATTGGATAAGGGTGACATACGAGCACACAGTCCACCTGATGGTAAGTGGTTGCTGCGGCCCATAGACATCTACATCTATCCTCTGTTACAAATCAAAATGTAGATGCGTTGTCACCCGTGAGGACTAAGATGGAATGCCTCATTTCCAGTAAAAAGGGCCTCCGGCCACCTGCACTCACAAGCGAAACGCAGAGGTAAACCTCTACTTCACGCTGGTTTTCTGTAAGGTCGTGGTACCACCCCGGTTCGAGCCGGCCCATCCGTGCGACAGCAAAACCTGCCGCGTGGCTCTACCACTGTAAATAACTTTTACTGGGTGAACCGATTTCGATGATTCCTTTTTTATTTGAAAGCTGGTGCTTCTCATGTGGTCCCATATAAATTTGATCAAGAACTGACCAAAAGTTTTAGAGTTATTCTTAATAATTTATATTGAAGTTGGTTGTACAAAATTTAAAATTTAAAATTATTAACCCTTAAACTTGTTTTATAGATATGAGTGTACGGAGTGCAATAAGAAATTCGCGTCGAAGGTGTACTGGAGGAAGCACTGCGATTTTTACCATTTAAATAAGTCACAATTTAAATGCGAGATATGCAATAAGGTAACCATTGTTTAGCATTATAAATCAAATTATTTTTATATTTATAATAGTTGGTGTATCTGTTAGTCGCCGTGTAGTGGCAGTAAGAGAATGAGAGCTAATAATCTTCAACTCTTTTTATACGTGGTAGAGCCATGCTGCAGCTACATATATTAGTAGTATAGTTATAGCACAAATAGGTCGGCTCGACCGGGGAAGGACCACGCTCTCACAGAATACCAGCGTAAAATAGCAGCTTAATGCTGCTGTGTTTCGTATGGTGAGTGTAGAGAACCGGAGACCCTTTTAACTGGAAAAGAGGCATTCCATCTTAGTCCTCACGGATGACAATGTATCTGCATTTTGATTTGCAAACAAGGATAGATGTGGATGTCTATTGGCCACAGCAACCACTTACCATCAAGTAGACTGTGTGCTCGTTTGTCACCCTATTCTATAAAAAACACACAGAATATATGACCTGAGGACTGAGATGAAATGCCTCATCTCCAGAGTGTAGAGAACCGGAAAGCGTCTCCGGTTCTCTACACTCATCATACGAAACACAGCAGCGTTAAGCTGGTATTCTGTGAAAGCGTGGTCCTTCCCCGGTCGAGCTGACCCATTCGTGCTACAACTATACCACCAATATATCATGGCTCTACCACGTGATGAGGCTGGCCGCCGTCACCGAAACTCGGTCTTGTGACATTATTATTATTATTAATTATTAGTAGATTTTAGCATTTTTACTATAAGTGACATGATAAAAGTGATAAAATCTTCCAAAAATACAACTCTACATCTACTAGCTTGGCTGTCTCCCAAATTAAAAGGACAAAAAAAAGAAGCTGAATATTTTTCCTTACAGTTGTTTATATCTGACTGGCGTCTGAAGAACCATCGGCAGACCAACCACGGTCTCAGCAGATCAAGGAACCACACGTGCAATATATGCGGCAAGAAATTCTTTGTAAGTAAATCTATATATTAATAGTGTTACCTATACAGCCTATAACAGTCCACCGCTTAACAGTCTTCTCCATATATTGACTCATAGGGGGGATATTTGCCATAGTTGCCACGCTCGGCGAGCGGGTTTCAACTGTAGTTTAATTTTAGTCATTATTAGGAAGACGCTGCAGCCCATCTCCTGATTTGTTTCCCTCTGTCGCCTCTTACGACACCCACGGGATGATATGGGGTAGTGGATATTCTTAAACAGCCATTACACGTTAATATATGTGAAGGGAAAACTTTGTACGCCTTTTTAAGCATATTGTGCGCATGGAGGTGTGTTATACTTAATATATTAATATGTTTTATACAACCTTGATGTAAAATTGGATTTATTAAAAGGAGATTAGAAAATATTTGTTATACCAAGTAATTTATTACAATTAGGTTAGGTTGGTCTATGATTCGCTTTAGCAAGGTTAGCAAACTTTAAAAAAAGTAAAACACATTGTAATTAATGTCTACGTATAATAATAATAATAATAGTAATATAGTGCTTCTCGATACCGCCCGCATCGTCCGCCGGTTTCTTTCCCTTCCCCCCTAACCCTCGGCGGTCTGGTCTCCCCTGCCGAGGGCTTCCATCTAGTTCGGTTTTTATATATTTATGTATTTTATTTGTATTTATTTTATTTTATTGATATTTATGTATGTTTACCATTTTCATTTACAATTATATATTTATACTGCCAAACCAGATGAGAAAACTTATATTATAGATACTCCAATAATAATAATAAAGCTTTATTTCTCTACACATTTACAGACTTAAAAAAAAATATAATAAATAAATACATAGAACTATTAGAAATTATGTGGGAAAATTTGGTACCGAGAGAGGATACCTGTTCATGTTGCTTTCTTAGCTAAGAAATCAACACACTCATTACCACGTATCCCAGCATGGCCTGGAATTCAAGCCAAAACAACTTTTAGGCCTTTTTTGTGACAATTATATAACGGTTTTTTAATAAAGAGGACAGTGAAAAGATTTGATTTAGAGTGGAAGGAGCTGGAGATAATAGTTTGGAGACAGCTAAGATAGTCAGAGAGAATTAATGTATATTCCAGGTTGTGAGATTCGCCATATAGAATTGCCTCTAAAATGGCAATAGATTCACCTGTGAAAACTGATGATTCAGGTGGGCACTAAATTTAAAATTATTCTATATTTAGGGATCCAAACTGCAGAACCTACACAATCTTTGTTAGAAGTCTTTGAAGCATCTGTGTACATAATGATCCAGTCTTGCCAATTTTCTGAGATGATTTTCTTTAATTTGTTGTTAGGATCAATGGTTTTCTTGTCAAGTCCAAAGTCAAGGATGACGTTTGGATTAAAAACCAGTGCTTCGTAGGGAGTGGAGAAGAGTAAGTTGATGCTATTTTGGAAGATTGGAGATTGAATGTTTACAAACTTTATATAGCTTTTTAAAAGGCATGGTATATCTTTATGTCGCCAGTATGGGGAAACATGACTTGCTTCCACTAGCAGGATCTGACTTCATGGCATCTTTGCAAGGTCTCTGGGACCAAACTAAAACCATAAAATGTAAACACTACGCTCGGGTTCAAGACACAATCCCATACAAACCTTGGTTTTTCCATTATCGTGAAGCGGTTTTTCCATTATCGTGAAGCTAACAAATTTACTACGTCAACCATTTGCCGTCTTCTCTTTGGTCATTCTTGCACACCGGTACACCTAGCCAAATTAAAGATAAGGGATAATTCTTTATGCGAATGTGATCTTGATGAAGGTTCCACCGATCACATATTTTTCGAATGTCCTCGACTCAAGTTCTCCTTCTATGATATCCATCCTCAAATGAAAATCTGTATGGTTGTGTCGATTTGTTTAGTAAAATAAAGGAAAAAAAAGGAAAAAAAAGCATCCCTTGTCCTACTAAATAATTTTACCTGTCTGCTGTCTCTCGTGTTCTCCTCATTAGAAGCCAATCACAAAAACAAAAAAAACTAGAAAAAATAATAAATAAATAAAAAAATTAATAATAAAATTGTTGTCCCTCGCAGTGGTAAAGTAAAAAAATGACTTTCAATAAGAATTACACATGTGATCTATATTGAATAATCAATTATTCTATTCTATTCTATTCTACTCTACTCTATTCTATTCTATTCCCATGACTGACTTGACATTGGCAGAATTCTCTTAAGAGAAGCCAAGAAGTAAAGAAGAAGAAGAAGATTAGAAATTAGAAATTATTTGTTGGTTTATGTAGTCCCTCTTGGGCCTCCTCCACCTTGAACCGTTCTTTGCGGTTTTTGGCAATTTGCATCCATTGTTCTCCTGCTGTGTTAATATTGTCATCCACCCATCTTTTCCTTTGCCGTCCTACACTCCTCTTGCCAAATGGGCCCTTCCATTTTGTTGTTTGGTAGGTCCACCTTTTGTCCTGATATCTAACTATGTGTCCTGCCCATTTCCATTTTTGTATTTGGCTATGCTGAAGTGCATCCGTTAGTTTAGTTTTCTTGCGGATATCTATATTTCTTGTTTTTTGTATTCTCCTTAATTTAAGGATGCTTCTCTCCATAGCATGTTGGCAGGACAAAATTTTTGTTTTTCACTCTTTCAGTATATACCCATGTTTGGCTTGCATATGTTAGACTTGGGAGAATACACGAGTCCATTATGACCTTTTTCATTCTTACGCTGTTTCTCTGTTTATTCTTCTGTCTATTTCTTTTTCATTGCTGTTTAGTTCGAAAGATATCAGTTTGCTTAAATATACATAGTCATCAACATATTCAGGAAAGTCCATTGAAAGTCCATTGAATGCCTACATACATTTTTTTTTAATTTCAAAGTTCTTTTATCACAACTCAATTATTTTCATTTAACATAATTAAACAAAATAATCTCAAATATCGTTATTTTATTATCTTAAACCAGTAATCCAAAGACAAAATTTATAAGACCTTGACCAATTTTCAAAAGCATTTTATTATAAGTATGTATAATAGGTACTAATTACAAATTATTTCTTTAAGTAACTCTTCCCTTTATTAAACCATCATTTTTTTATATCTTATTAATTTAGTACTGCAATAGTAAACATATTTGTTGCACATCTACACAAAATAGAGGCATCACCGGCTTATCTAAATTGGATATGCTTCAGAAATTTACTGTGAATTTTTTCAATAGCAATATTCTTGACTGTAACTTCACAACTGCATGACCTTACAAGACCCATCTCATCATTTGATCTAAATAGTATTGTGGGATGTTTTCGTACTCTATAAGATTACTCAAACCTAAAGATTGTAGTATAGCAGGCTTAATAAGTTCTTTTGGTATATCAATATTGTTGGGATTTACCGGCACTAACATTCTTGATAAATTAACATTTCCTACTTTGAATTTAACTCCTTGCCAATTATAATTGAATACTTTATTTAATCTATTTTTTTTTTGTTGTTGTTATCGAACAATTTTATCACAGCTCTCTCTGTATCCTCATCTACTTTCTTCTCAAATTCATGTAGATACCATTGCACTAGGTCTGTTTTGCACATCACTCTATTATATCTTCTATTGTCTGAAGTGGAATCTAATTCTTTTGGTACTAAGTCCATATTTATTGCATCTTTTCTAAAGGTTATTGGGAATTTTAAATTAATATTTGTCATCGTACTCATTAGAGGATTTGGATCTTTTACAGATCGTGAATTTCTTTCAATAGCCCTGATATTTGAAATTGTGCTATTTCATAAAATCTCGGTGGTTTCCTCACTTGACCTTAATATTTTCTTGCATACCCAAATGATGCGTTCGATAGTGTATTTTGCTTTGTATTCAGAATCTGCCATCTTTTTGTGTCTGTCGAATATAATTCAATATTAGAAAACTATCTGTTACTGCTCATATTCCTCCATTCGCTCACTAGCGCTACGAGCGGCGCTCAGCGCGCCGTTACACGCTGCGGCTTCTGTTGTTGTTGGTCGTGTTGTTGTTGTTGTTGTAGGTGTTGTAAGTGTTATTTGTGCCAGCGGCGCGCTGAGCGCCAGGTTCCGCCGTCCTGTCTGCGTTTCTGTTTTGTGTGTTTCTGGTGGCGGCTGCTGCGCCCGCACGAAGCCTCACGGACCGTCATTATTCTTACAGCGCAGACTACGCAGGCAGCTCCGCTGCAGCGTCGCACACGTGCAGCCACACCCGCAACATCCACGCACACGTGAAGCGTCTTGCATTAAAATAAGGTGTGCTCGTGTATACTTCGCTTTCATATTCTCACTCTTCGCAACCTAGTTTGCGAACGGAGAACGTAAATGAAAAAAAAAGTTTTATTATGACAGTTGGAATTCCTGCATTGTCCTACGATAAATTGAACGTGTCTGAACTGATCGAGATAAGAATTTTGTTTGATGGATTGGTAGAATAATTTATGCAGAGGTTGATTATAGTTTTTATTTATGTTTTGCAATGATTGAAAGGTCGTTATATTTGCATTAACTCTTACCAGCCAGTTCTAAGCGATTTATAAGAATTTGTTAAATCGAGGAAATTGTTATATTGAGGTTTGAGGTTATAAGAAGTTTGAAAAAACATTAATCTTTTTAACAAAAAAAAAAACGTTACCCCCACACTAGGATTATCTCCTACGACACAGGAGATAATCCTGGCAGGAGGCAGTTTACAAACATAAATTGCACAAGGACAAACATCCAGATCCGGGACAATTATTTGTAGGCCATACAAATACTTGCTCCGTGCGGGATTCGAACCGGCGGATCCTAGCGTAACAACTCATTGCTAAGCCACTGCCCCACGGAGCCGTCGAAACATACATTGTTTAGGTTCATATTGCCAATTACAAACATAATTGTCTTCTACTTCTTTTAAATTATGGCTTCTCTTGATATAATTCTGCCAGTGTCAAATCAGTCATGGGAGTGACAAGTTTTATTAATAGTTCTCAATTATACGTAACA